CCTCCAGGCCTCCTGAGTTGCTCTCTGAGGATGTTGGGGCCAGGACTGGCCCTGGGCTTCCCACTGGCCTCTCCAGTCTGCTCTGAGCTTGGCTACAGGCCAGGGGGAGCATGGGACGTTTATGAGGCCAAGACCCTCCCCTCCTCTGGGAGGCCTCTGGGCCTCAGGTGCTCCCCGCAGGACAAGGAGGTGGGACTCAACAAGCTTCAGAGTCTCCTTAGACACCAGGCGGGACAGGTGCACCTGCAGGAGACATTGGACAGGATGCACACACAGTCACAGAGGCAGCCCCTTGGTGGCTCACTCTTCCCCCACCTCAAACACCTACAGGGACTGCCTGGCAGGGGGTGGGGAGGTCTTGTCTGTTCCTGAGCCATGCCTGCTAACACGTCCTCCAGGTGGCAGGTCCACCAGGTGGGGCCCTAGGGGTACATTCCCATCTAGGAGTCATCCCTGTTGGGTGTCATCCTCCCAGCGTCTCGGGCGAGGGCCCTCTGTGACATGCTGCTCCTTCCACCTTCACCCCCACCCCAGCCGATGACGGGGGCTTTGAGAGTGGCGTATATAACAACAGCGCCATCTCCACCCCCCACCTGGACGCCTTGGCCCGACGCAGCCTGATCTTCCGCAATGCCTTCACCTCCGTCAGCAGCTGCTCTCCCAGCCGGGCCAGTCTGCTCACCGGCCTGCCCCAGGTGAGGACAGTGGGGACCCCCAAGCCAGGGAAGGTGGAGGCAAGACCAGGGACCAGGTCTCCCCAGGGCTGTCACCGGCCTTCCTCTGCACTAGGCCCACACCAGGCATCGCTGTGGCCCGGGGTGGTCGGTGGAAGTCTGATCTGCCTGCTATGGGGTCCCAGTGGAAAGACTGGGCGGTTGGGTAGAACAGCTGAGCAGAAAGAAGCCAGTGAAACCCAGACTAAGCCTGCCCTTGGGTCCCTTCTGGTGCATAGCCAGCCCGTGTGGCCATCTTTATGGGGAAGACAGCCTCCTCTTTCTCCTGAGGAGCAGCCGGTAGGTTTGAACTGCTAACCTTGTGATTAGTCACCCTACATCAGCGGGGTTCATTGAAGAGAGTCAAAGCTGCCTGTCCTTGTCGTGGCCAGCGTTCTGGTTTCTGCTGACTTCTGACTTTTACGGAGTGGGCGTGTGGGGCGAGGAGCTGGGGGGGTAGTAACTCTCCCTGGGGCTCGGGGACCCGGCAGGGCCTGTGGGGCTAACGCCGGGGAGGGCGGAGCAGCAGCGGGCGGGCCTCACGGAATGAATGGGCCTCTGCCGCAGCACCAGAACGGGATGTATGGCCTGCACCAGGACGTCCATCACTTCAACTCCTTCGACAAGGTGCGCAGCCTGCCCCTGCTGCTCAGAGAGGCAGGCATCCGCACAGGTGAGGCGCCCCAGACAGCCACTCCTGGCCCAGGCACTAGCCTTGTCACCCATGAGCATCACTGGGGTCACGAGGACTGAGCTCCTGGGGGCGGAGGGTGGGGTCCAGGGGTGCCTGCACAGCCCTCTGCCCACTCTACACAGGCATCATCGGAAAGAAGCACGTGGGGCCCGAGCTGGTGTTCCCCTTTGATTTTGCCTACACGGAGGAGAACGGCTCCGTCCTCCAGGTGGGACGCAACATCACCAGGATCAAGCTGCTGGTCCGGAAGTTCCTGCAGTCCCAGGGCAGCAGGTGGGCCAGGCCCTGTCTCTGACACATACACACACACACACACATACGTACTCTTGTACACATGCACACACACTTACCCATGTTCTTGCAGTCCCAGGGCAACAGGTGGGCCAGATCCTACCTGCACACTCACACACACACACACATACATACACACTCATGCACACACACCCATGTTCTTGCAGTCCCAGGGCGGCAGGTGGGACGGGCCCTACCGCTGACCCACGCACACACACACACATTCATGCACACACACTTACCCATGTTCTTGCAACCCCCTTGCCCCTTATAAACACTTGCACATGTGCACATACACTCACACTTACACACACATCCAGACCTGGAGGCCCTTAACCCCTGACGGACACCCACAATCTTTGGGACCCTTGGCCTCCCCCGCACTGCCGGCATAAAAGGTTCCAGGTGCTCACACTGATCTGGGTGGAGGAAGAGGGGAGGCTCGGGGCTGGGCATGCAGAGCTGAGAGGAAGCTCCCCCTGAAGCACAGGCACCCCCAAGCAGACCCGCCACCCCGCGTCCTGCCTTTGCCCGCAGACCCTTCTTCCTGTACGTGGCCTTCCATGACCCCCATCGCTGCGGCCACTCCCAGCCCCAGTACGGAGCCTTCTGCGAGAAGTTCGGTAATGGGGACAGCGGCATGGGGAGCATCCCTGACTGGACGCCCCAGCCCTATGACCCCCAGCACGTGCAGGTAGGAAGCCTCCCCACCCCACCCTTTGTTCACGGCCTGCACCCTTCCTGGCACAGCCTCAGTGATCAAAGCCCCTTTGCCTGAGGTGGACCCAGGTACCACCAGGGGCAGTGTTGTGGCCAATCCATCCCCGGGGAGGAAGTAGCTTCCAGCGTGGACAGAAGGCTGGCACCTTGCATCCTGCCTGTCCCAGGGCAACCCCTCAGGCCCGCCCTCCCCACCGCTCCAGGTGCCGTACTTCATCCCTGACACCCCAGCCGCCCGTGCTGACTTGGCCGCGCAGTACACCACCATCGGCCGCATGGACCAAGGTGGGTGCCAGGAAGCAGGCGTGGCTGCCACTCCCCCGCTGTGGGTGCACCTTCCTCACGTCCCTATGGGCACTGTCATTCCCTGGGGACCTGTTAGCTCTGTGGGGCAGACATGAGGCCCTGAGGGCACAGAAACCGGTTCAGGGAGGTCACACCGTGTGGGCACTGCGTGGAGTGCAGGGGGCTGACCAGAGACCCTGGATGCCGGGAGTCATGGGCGGGACTGGGAGGCCTTGGGGCAGGGGGGTAGACGATGGTGCAGGGCCGTGTCAGGAAGAAGGCCATGTGTGCATGAGTGTGTGTGTGTGTGTGTGTGTCTCCCTCCCTCTCTCTCTCTCTCACTCTCGCTCGCTCGTAGAAGGCCATGTGTGCATGCGTGCCTGCTTCTCTCTCTCAATCCCTGTCTGTCTCCGCGCATGCGTGCTGAGCCCTGCGCCCTGCTCCCCCGGCAGGTATCGGCCTGGTGCTGCAGGAGCTGCGGGCAGCCGGCGTTCTGAATGACACGCTGGTGCTCTTCACGTCCGACAACGGGATCCCCTTCCCCAGCGGCAGGACCAACCTGTACTGGCCGGGCACCGCCGAGCCCTTGCTGCTCTCGTCCCCCGAGCACCCGCGCCGCTGGGGCCAGGTCAGCGAGGCCTTCGCCAGCCTCCTTGGTAAGCTGCTGCTGCAGTCTCGGGTGCGAGCCAGGGGGTGGACAGCCGGGCACTCTGTACCCAGCACCTCAGGGCTCTGCCACTGCCTGTCCAGGAAGGGATGGGCACCCCCACCTTATCAGGGGAGGAAACAACCCTCAGTTGCCCAGGGCCACATAGAGTTGGGACCTGGCAGGCCGCCAGCTGTGCTCAAGCACTGGCCTTCCTCTGAGTCACCAGGAACCCCAACCCACTGCCACCTGTACATGCGGACGTGCCTCGGCCGTGGACAGAGCGGGGTGCCCACGGGGGCTGAATCTATACATCATTAAGGAAAATGACCGCCTCATCTCTGGCCCACAGAGTGGCTGGTGGGTCCAAAGCATCAGCCATTCCCTCCGTAGCAGCCCGCTGCTTAACCCACAGTGCCACCAGGGCTCGAGACTCCCTAGAACGGGCTTGTTCAAGCCCAGGATTGCCCCTGCCAAGATTTGCCTCAGCAGATCCAGGGCCGTGCGAGAACCAGCATTTCTTACAAGCCCCCAGGCAAGGCTGCAGCACCCTGGTAACCTGTACCCCCTCACACTGGCCCCCAGGAACCTACATTCCATCACCTTCTGCCCCGAGAGGCTGCACCCCATCACGCTGCACCCTCGGCGACCTTGCCGGAAGTCTGAGCTGTCTTCCCACTGGACAGACAAGCAGACAAAACACAGGGCGGGGGGGCTGTGGGTGGCTTGGGTGAAGCCCTGGGGTAGCCCCAAAGCACAAAGCCGGGAGCCTCTATGCCACACACAGAGCCGTGGGGGGCTCCCTCACTGGGCTGCAAAGGGACCTTTGAGGGCCTCTCGGCATATGATTGGGGTGCTATGGGGCAGAAGCCTCCCAGCCCGGCAGTGACAGACCACCCAGAGCAGGTGGCCCCTGAGAACAGCCATGCATTGTCCCACAGTCCTGGGCACTGGGTCAGTGGCATTGATTTGCTGGGGTTCTTGAGAGAGACTGTCCCTGCTCTCCCTGCCTCTGGAGGCCCTGAGAGGCCCTGGTCTGCAGCGGGAGCATCACATGGTGTCCTTCCTGGCCCCTGCCTATCTCTCCTTTGTAAGGACAGCAGTCACATACCCCACTTTAAACAAGGTTACCACGGGTGCCAGCCACTAGGATTCAAACAGCTGTTTCTGGGGGGCATGGAGGGACCCTTAACACATGGCCCTCAGAAGGGTTATAAGGAGGAAATTAAAATTTTTTACAAAGAAGGGTTGTGACCAGGTGTTGAGTCCTCAGCAGACTGCCCCTGTCCAGAGCCCCAGTATCTGTCCTGAGGGGCTCAGGTCAAACTCCAGGAAGTGGGCTGCAGGCACCTGGGGAGCCCTGCCACGCTGAGACCCCACTTCCTTTCCAGATCTGACCCCCACCATCTTGGACTGGTTCTCCATCCCCTACCCCAGCTACGCCATCTTTGGCTCCAAGACCGTGCAGCTCACCGGCCGGTCCCTCCTGCCAGCGCTGGTGTCCGAGCCTCCCTGGGCCACCGTCTTCAGCAGCCAGAGCCTGCACGAGGTCACCATGTCCTACCCCATGCGCTCCGTGCACCACCAGAGCTTCCACCTAGTGCACAACCTCCACTTCAAGATGCCCTTCCCCATCGACCAGGACTTCTACGTCTCCCCGACCTTCCAGGACCTTCTGAACCGCACCCGGACGGGCCAGCCCACGGGCTGGTACAAAGACCTCCATCACTATTACTACCGTGAGCGCTGGGAGCTGTACGACCGGAGCCGGGACCCCCACGAGACACACAATCTGGCCACGGACCCCAGCTACACCCAGCTCCTTGAAGGGCTCAAGACCCAGCTGGTCAAGTGGCAGTGGGCGACCCATGACCCCTGGGTGTGTGCTCCGGATGGGGTCCTGGAAGAGCGGCTTTTTCCGGAGTGCCGGCCCCTCTACAACGAGCTGTGAGCGCCCTGCCACACGCGGCCCTCCCCTTGGCCAGACTGGGGGAGGACACGGCTTCGGCACACTGGCCATCCCTCCTCCATGCCCTGGGAGCAGAGCTTAGGCCTGGCCACTGGCCCCCATGGGAGAGGATACTCTGTCCTTGGGTCACGCCATGTGGCCCAGCACAGGAATTCAGGGAGAGCCTAGGACAGGGTGGCCCCAGCCCACCGCAAGGTGAGGCTGCTCAGGGAAGGGTGGCCACCCACGGATCATTCTGAGCCCTCCCCATGAAGATGGGCCGCCGTGTCCTGGGGGTGGGCAAGCTGGCCTAACCACCCTCAGCTCAGAAACACCACATCTTGATTTCAATCAGGATGTGGGCTGGAGGGGAGCCCTGGTGGTGTAGTGGTTAGACACGGCTGGCTGCTTTCCGCAAGGTCAGCGGTTCAAGACCACCAGCTGCACCGAGAGGGGAGAGATGAGGCTGTCTGCTCCCGGGAAGAGTTCCAGTCTCGGGAACTTACAGGGGCCAGCTCCACCCTGCCCTACAGGGTCATTATGAGTCAGAATCAACTCGGTGGCCGTGTGAGGTTTCGGGGTTTTTCTGTGGGCTGGAGGACAGCTCTGAAAGGTCCTGGGGTTCCTGTTTCCTCCCTTTAGCCCCTGTCACCCTCGTGACCTCAATGCCCAGCGCTGGGTCTGTGTGACCTGATAGCTCACTGCAAGGCCCATGAAGTGTCATTAGGGTGGCGGGCCAAGCTCACCCTTCCTTCTGAAGCACCTACGGGTGGGACCACTGCTGGAGGAGAACGGCACCTCCCCTCGCACTTGACTTACATCTACTTGGACAAGCACCAGTGTCGGATATAGACTCTTTCTCTAGAACGCTCCATCCCTACTCTGCTCCTACCCACCACGGCAGCCACGACCTCCTGGGGAGGCCTTGAAGGTGGAGGCTCTCTCCCCAGGGTGGGGGGCTCCCACCACCCATTAGCACCATATAGGGACCAAGGGGGGCCGGCAGGCAGCAGGCCTCAGTATTGTAAACAAAAAATACCCCCCAAAAAACCCCAACACTTAATTTTAGCAAATATATAGAATTGCATTTTCTAGACGTGGTTTTAATGCCGCAACCTGAACTTGGTCTGTTTCAGAAATCCCTGCCACTGCTGTCTGTCTTGCAAGGGGCCCACGGGGGTTCTAGGAGGTGGGGGGGGGTTCCTGGAGGTTGAGGTGCACTTAGGAGGGGAAGGCTGCAGGAAGACCATTTGACACCTCTGTGGTCTCAGAGCCAGGCAGCGCCAGGACCCGTCATGGGCCCAGACCCAGGTTAGACACCTCCCCGGTCCCTTGGGCCTGTGTTGATAGGGAAGTACCTCAGGCCCCAGCTGTCCTCACTAGCCACGGGGGCTGAGAAATGGTAGTCACAGCGACAGTTTGGTTTGTCCTCCGGGAGGGCATGGACCTCACAGGCACAGGGCAGCTGGCCCTCAGCAGAGCTCTGCCCGTCGGACAGCCCTTTGACACTGAAGCATGAAGTCAAGGGAGCAGGCGGGCTGCAGAGGGCAGCTGACAGCCACAAAACACCGGGGACGGGGCCCGCTGAACCACCCAGTGCGATCCACAGGTCTGGGTGAGTTCACGCCAAGCCCTGATGAGGGTGGACATGGTGCACGCTTAGGCCGCTGAGCGGTGGGAGGGCTGTCCTGGGGGTCTGGACCCATGGGCAGCGAAGAGGCCAGGTCAGTGGGGTCGACACCCCATGGCAGTGTCTGCTGTGGACCCGGCTCCTGAGCCCACGGGGTCTGCATTCCCGGGGGAAGGGGCACAGCATCAGCGGGGGCTCTGCTCGGTCCACACAACCCTCTTCTGTGCATCTGCGATGGCCAGGCGGACACAGCTGAGCAGGGTGTCCAGGTCGCTCCAGCTGTCAGGGGCCAGGCTGCTGTACAGACAGGGTGCCCTGTCCAGGTCCCCCTCCTCCTGCCGGGCTGCCTCCAGCAGCTGCTCCTCAGACGAGCCGAGCCGCTGCAGGGACTTCCTGCCAGTGGGGGGGGAGTGGGGGAACTTAGAGGCAGGGACCCAGCAAGAGGTGCCCACGCCATGGCCACAGCAACCCCACTCTGGGAGGGCGGGGGCAGAGTCCCCAAGCCCGGAGCTCAGCTGACCAAGCCTGTCAGATGGTCCTCAAATGACAGTCCCCGCTTCAGGGAGGATCAATCGGTGACCTTCCATCCAAGTGCCATACGTGTCCCAGGTACAAAGCAAGGGGTGCCAGCCTTGCTCTGGCCACATGGCACCCCGGTATGTCCAGCCCCTTAGAAATGTCCTTGGTCAAGTTAAGGTGACCTTGGGCCAGGACCCTCAGTTCCCCAGAGGTGAGGGGACTTTGTCCAGGGAGCTGTGGGTGACCACCCCGAGCACCTCTAGGGACATTGGAGGGGACGTCCTGCTGGTGGAGCCTGTGGGCCCAGGGACCTGCCCCAAGTCTGCTGTGGGGGAGGGACAGCTACCTGAGCCTCCGGGCGGTCTTCTCGGTAGAGGAGATGAGGAGGACGATGGGGAAGATTTCCCAGCGGTGCAGGGTGCGGACACTGGCCAGCCCCAAGTCCAGGAGGCCATGAGTGTTCTGGGGGTGAGGGGGGCAGTGTGAGCTGTGGTCTCTGGGTCCTGAAAGGAGCCTGCCCTGGCCTGATCGTGGGGCCCACAAATGGGAGGGGGTTTTGGGGTGGGGGGTTTGCATGTAATCTTTTAGCATATTGATGCCTTGTTTGATTGTTTCATCTGGAAATCCAGAGATTGCAAGCCACGATATGAGATTAGAAACCCTGGTGGCATCGTGATCACCACAAGGTCAGCAGTTTG